TGCTTCACTTTGTTGTTTTTTTTACTCCTTTCAGAGAAAGAGTTTTCAGTGCAGAGCGCCATCTGTTAACGATTTTCGTAACTGAATTTTCTAAACAGTTGTACACCATTTTTTCAGTTTTGCTAATGAATGTACAGTTTACCGCATAATTCTATCGATCTTTGTTGTAGAGATATTTCATTTTGAAATCAGGGTTTATTCGCTGATCACCCTGTATTAACAGATTAAATCTTCAAAATGTTTTACAAATGTCGACAGCAAATTAAATAAAATTGAATCAGTGGCATAGTTACATGTAGGCAATGCCTGCGGGGCTGCATGTTTTAAAGGTCCAGTAACTTTTGACTTTTTAAAATTTAAAATGGAATAATAAATTAAATCTGTTAGCAAATGATTCTTTGAATATTGTTGTACAGATTTAATTTTAAACATTAGATTAAACTATCTTTTGCCTCTTGCATTCAAGCATGAAAAGGCAAATAAAACTGACGTGAAAAATATAATTATTTTGCTTCAATAAAAGCATGCTCTGAATATGTATTTCATAAATTGCAATTCCAACATTATTAGTATTTTTTCCTTCTTTTTAGTTAGTTATATTTATTAAGATTATTTCTGTGTGGTTTTGTTGTTAACAAATTTTGCTTGTTATTGTAGTCTTAAATTGTTTAAAAACATTAAAAAATTCAACTGACTAAAATGGATTTTCAATTCATAACATATGCTAATATGGCGTTTAGTATGTAAGTGATATATATATATATGATAATATATATGCAAGATATAACAAAATTTGATGGCTGCTTTAAAAATAATTGGTGACCTTAAAATGATTCTAGATTTTATGCTCTTTCTCTAAATTCACCTGTTCTCTTACATTCGAGAACTTTCCATGTTACATAATACTGCTTGAAAAAAGGTAACTAATACTAAAATTAACCAATCACAGAGTAGCTGTATTTATGCACCTATATAGTATCAATAGCTTCTAACCACGTAGTTTCTCTTTCGCCTGCCTGCTGACAGCGTGTTGCTCAGGCTCTGCTAACTATTCATCATTATTTAAAATGTAATTTGTAAATTAAAAATTATGGGCCGCATTTAGGACCCCTAATCTTCTACTGGTTATGAAGATATGTGCTAAGAAATTTGTCATCCAGAAATAAATTATATTTAACTATCAAGCTGGTCGTGATTTTTCTAAATTACAAAAGAAATAAAATTCAAAACCACTAAAATTGAAAAATCTGCAATAAATATGTTAAAAATTAACCAATAGTATTAAACCAGAAGAATTATAGATGTGGGAAATGCAAAACTGCAAATAGAAATGATTTTAAAAGGGAGAGGAATATAATCAAAATCTGATTCAAAGTTATCAAGAGGTGGTAGCTAAGATTACCCTGAAAACTTGAAGTCCTGTCCCCAGGAAAATCACTACGTTTCTTTTAATCCAAAATTAGCTGATGAATCATTCTAAATTATTTAATTATAACAGTTTACTCAAAAATTCTAAATTCCTTCCTGACCCAGAGGAAATCCGTTAAAGAAATATACAAAAATACATGCCAAATAACGTCAAAGAAATAAATTAGCCAATTTTTACTGAATTTAAGATTGAAATTAAAATGTAGAAATACAACATATACATAAAAATTATCAGAGAACATTGAAATCATAACTTACTGAAAGCAAAACAATAACCCAAAAGAACGAAATTCAGAAATTCAAATGCCTAAGGTTGCCAGTTGTTAGTAATTTTCAATCAATAGAAATTCTTTAAAACTGCTGACAGCTTTTGGCAGAACTAATGCCAGCAAGCATTCACTGTTGATGCACTATGCCAGCAAGCATTCACTGTTGATGCACTCCCTTGACCCCTTGCAAGTTTAATTATTTTTAAGTAGTGTCTTACATTGAACTGCTTGCAAAATGCCATTAACATGTCATGCTTTCCTACATACAGTACTTCATTTGCAGAGATTTAAACATACCCGACTTGACACGCTTAAATGTTTTTATGATTCCTTGATCGTTGACTCAGTGGGAAGAATAAAACCTTTAAATTTTGGATGCAATGTTGTGAGAACTTCAGCACCATGTCCTGGAGCATCATCAAGAAATAGGGAAACTTTAAAAGCTCAGGTTTTGATGTTCTAGATGAGACTTCTTCAATGAAAGAATTTTCAAATCAGGCATTAAAAAGGACTATCACAACATGGCTGACCCTCTGCAGCACACTCCATATAATTGTGAACTCTTGCGTTGGACAAATTAAATAGAGATAAATAAGATATTGCATATACAGTTCAAAGTCTGTAATCCGGATGTCAGTTATCCGTAATGAATTACAATCCTGACCTCAAAGCCACAAACTTTTTTTTGTTTTTTGTATGCTTTACGCATGCGTCTTTAATGTATAACGAACACTATAAGCTAGACTAAAATTATCTTTACTAAGGCATTTCAGTTAATGTTGCAGATTGCGCTGTTCTTCAATCTTCTAATTGGATCCGGCTTATTATTTTTTGCAGACTGTTAGAGCAATTTTATAAAAATTAAGCTTGAACTTTCAATTATGTCAAAAAGAGTTTCCAATTCTGGAGCTGCCAAAGGATCTACAAAGCGAAAGCATGTTTCGATTTCCATCAAACAAAAAGTGGGAATTGCTGCAAAAAATGGATAAAGACATATCCGTCTCAAAATTATGCAAGAAGTATGACATTGGGAAGTCATCAATCAATTAACGGATTGCGAAATCTGTAGTATGGTTCTAGATCCAGAAAATACCGCTTCCGATAGTGAAGAAAGCGACAGAGAGGTTATTGAAAATGAAAAAATTTCGATTGACAGGTTAGTCAGTATTCTCGACACAGCAATTACACGACTTGAACAGTGGAACTTTGTAACTGAACAAAAAATTATGTTTGTTTATAGAATTAAAGAGAAAAGTATAAGCACAGAAAATGAAGTAACTTAAACAACTTACATTGAAAGAAATGTTTAACAAAGTAAACAAATAAATATCAAAAAAATTTTTTGGTAAATTTTGATACCCTTTAGATCATAATTGCTCTTTATTTCAAAATTTACGGTTTCATACTTTTAATTGCATAATTTCTGCATACCATCTTACCAGGTTTAAATTGATGATCTATAATCTGGAAAAACCCCTAATCCGTAACCGTCCGATGATTCTGGATTAGGGGTTTTTTCTGGATTATAGTCCCGACGAGTCCGGATTACAGACTTTGTACTGTATATGCAAAAGCACATTCTGCAAGGGTTTACTGTACACTTTCCTGATCTGCAATGAAGGTACAAATACAGAAACTCAGTTCATGATTTCTACATGTTTCATTAAATGGAAATTCAAATGTTTTAAGGATTTTTAAGAATCGCCAATGAAAAAAATTAAAGACCTCTCAGCAAACAAAACTGAATTAAAGAAAACACTTTCACTTTTGTAATTCCTTCTAATAATTAATTCTAATAATAAAACAAGAACATAGAGAATGCATTGTTATATGATGGAATATGGTTAAAACACAATGTAATATTTAACATAATTATAAAAAATAGTTTTAAAACACTGTTATGATGACTTGGTAGTAAGACAGCAGAATGGCATTGTCTTGGGCCTGGGCATGCAGAAGAAAGGAAGGATATTTTATAACTGTATAGTATCTTTGTGCTGAGGGGTACAAAGATACTATACAATTATTAGAAATCCCTGGATCCACCATTTGCGGTATTCTTCAACAAAACTCAGACAGAACTTTTCCTTCCTCACAGATACAGTTTAGTCATGGCCTGGGCAATATTCTTAGTGATAAGATGGTTAAATGATTGATGCGTTTTGACCATTCCCCAACAAATACATTCAGTTGCAAGTGTCTGGTCATTTAAATAACAATAATTTCAAAATAAAACTAATTCTTTACAAATTTTCAAGAAGCTAAAATTTTGAGAGCTCATTTTTTAAAAAATAATCGTGTGATTTTTATAAAACTTCCAAGTTTGGCATATTTTGAATTGTAGAACCGACATATGGAAAAAAAAAATTGGCATGTCATTTCAGAAAAAGTCCAATTTTGTGTCAGAATACCTAATTTGAACAACAAATGAATTTTTAAGTTTAACTAAAATTTTTTTTTTAAACTTGTTAGTACTTAGCAGCTTTTAGTGCTAATTACCTTGTTTGTTTTCACTTTTTTCAAATGTAAATTAGTTCTTAGTTTGGTTTCATTTTAAATATTTTTGCACTTAACTAAAATTTTTCATAAACTTTGTTTCAAATGTTAACTTGCAGTATTTTTTAATAACAATAGTTATTTTAAATATTCAAATTTTAGCGAATTAAATTAGCAATGCCATTTAGATTCCCCGTTTTTTAAAATTTTCTGTCCAAAAATTGAGTTAAGAATTTTTACTTTAAAAATTTACATATGCTCTTAGAATTTAAATGATACTGTAAATTAGTTCACAGCAATAATAATTTTTATTTCTTTGCAATTTAAATTTCTTAATTAAATTTTAATTTTATCTTTGCTTTATAAGAACAAAGAATATTTGTTAAATTCAAATTATATTTGAATATTATATTATTATATATAAATCTAATATATATCCTAAGTCATGCTATCGAGACATGAGAACCGCAATTTGAATTTCGTCAATCGGCCCAGTAGAACGAACGGTATAGAACTGTTCCGCCACCCTTTTTTTTTGTGCAGTGTACATTTTGTTGTATTTCATATGTACATAATGTATCATTTCTCCCTGAATATTAAGAGTAGCACTGTACATTCTCATCAGCATAAATAAAATCACTTGCATAAAAATTTGGCCTGATGCTGGGAAAGATAGGGTAATTAATTAATAAGATTTTTCAATTATTTAAATCGGCTTATGGTTTCGACATGCCTACGCAATAAATAAGATGCTCATGCTAATCTTGCCCTACCTAATCAAAGAAAATTTCTTCATACTCTACTTACTTTATATTGATAAGAAACTTCTTTGAGTTTTTTACTTTCTTCAGCAGCCCCAGGTTTCCTCTCAATTTTCTTTGAATGAAACAAGCTGGTGATGTAAACATCTAACATTTTTTCTGTTTCTAACAAATCTAGATATCTCAGGATATTTTTCTTCTGAGCTTCTGTAAATTTCTTCAAGCATCGATTACGACATCTGAAATTTAGAAACAAAAATCAACAAAACATTCTTAAAAGCTGATTTATAGGGAAAATTTTAACTAACACTGAGCAACTTACCCACACTTATCTGCAGCTAGCAATATATCTCTTTCTTCATCCTTTTTTACATCTGTTCCTATTAAATGAAAAATAAGATAAAATCTAGTAACACAAAAAGTAAAAAAAAGAGTAAAATCTCTGGTCAAAGGCTTGAAAAAAGGGGAAAGAAGGTTTAAAAACTTCATTTTCTGAAAACATGTATCAACTGTACATACAACATAAAAACTTTCACATTTTAATGCACATTTATAACAAAACATTTTCAAAAATTATTTCCACCAAATTTTACTTTAACTTCCCAAAACATACCACTGTTTTTGCACATCAGCCTTAATAACGAATAATCATTTCCTTAGAGTAAAATTTAAGTTTATTTTCTCCAACACTTTATCAACTGCTGGATCCCCCTTTAGAATCCAATGGTACTCTTACATTTGCTGCTATATATGATGCTCATTAAAAACAACCTTTGCTTACTATTATAGCACCCATTATTTAAATGGAAAAACTCATTAGTGGACTGTGCCAAATGGGCAACCCTACTCATATCTTTCCAAATCATTACAAAATGACTGGAAATCCTAATCACAGTAACTTACAATCTGCGCCTCTAAGAAAAGCTTTAAGTAGGGCAGCCATTTTGACACAGACCATTAGTAAAAAAGATGGCTCTTGGTGTTACTTAACCTGCTTGCTGCCAAAGCTAATGCAGTACCAAGATCATATGGCAAGATCCAAGTGCATTTTTATGCTTTCAGATTATTTTCTGTTGTTTTAGTATTTAAATATAGATACAATAGACTACTTTTAAAAATAAACAAATTCACATCAGAATACTTATCACTGCCATGTGAAATAATAGTTTGCTCCTTATGTCAACTATAAGATAACTCGAAACTATGTAAACTATAACTCACCCATTCTGTGCATGCAATAGATTATTTTCCTTAATCCTTATTCTTATATTTGCAATAGATTCTGAGTTTGTGATTATGTATCCTTAGATTGCCGACAGATGGCAGTAATATTTGTTTGTAAAAAGAAACTGATGTCATAATTACGTATATGTATCGGTTAGTCTTTGGTGTTCATCAATAAATGTTTTGTGAAAAAACACTCTCTGTTTATTACTTAAAGTCGATCCAATCTGATTTATTAGAGACTTACATATATTTTATTTATTCACTAAACAAGAATTTGAGCAGTCCATTTATAATAATTTCCTAGAGAATAAATAAAATAAAACAAAACAAAAAAAAAGTTTTGCAGTCTTAAATATTTATTTATTGCATCTACAATTTGAGGAATAAATTATCCATTTAAGTATGCCAAGTGTATTATTCAGTACCTTCCTGTATGCCAAACACCTCCCATACTCAGTTAAGGTTAGGCAATCAACATGCTATCTTGTAATTCACAACCAAACTGCTTGTCTATTACGAGTACCCTCGTTGATGGCAGCAAATGTTAAGAAATGAACACCCAATAATCTTAAAAGACATCATTATTCTATTCTATTAATAACAAAATTAGAATAGAATTTCCATTGGTTCATTTTCAAAATTATTTTGATTTCCCTAAGTTAAGAGTTCACAGTTTGGTTTTTAGACTAGTTATCCCAAATGCTATCGTAGTTAAAAGTGCTTTACTGACAGACTTTGTTGAGCTCAAATTTAGTTCTCAAAAGTTAGAGACATTTATTATTGAAATGCCTCTTGGCAAAATGTGGGCAAATATCTCAATTCAATAATTCTCTTGATAGGCTGAAGGTGACGAAAGAGAAAATCCCTTGGAGTGCTCCTTGATATGCATTCTAGGTACATAGTCCTTAGTGCTTAAATGTATAATTTGATCCAATACTTGAGCATAGGCATTACTATATCTTTGATAATCACTCAATTTCTGTTAAAATCTTGGCTGGAATTATCAAAAAGTATCTTCAAACAAGCACTCGCATTTCATCAGCTTTTTACCACATGTTAAAAGTTCTGTTTACAGCTTTTATTTTAAATACCTTAAAATAAACTTGAAGAAGAAAATGAAAGTCTGGCATAAGAAGAAGGTGCAACAATACATATATGAGCCTGAATTCAGTGGAATATGCATATTCATAGAATAACACATTGCCATAAATGAAGCTTTTAAAATTAAAGCAATCCCACAAATTTACAACTTAGCAATTATAAAAAATCCATATATGTATAATTAGAGAAATGGAAGCTTCAATAATTAAAAACAGTATTCAGAAAATTTATAAAAACACTGCCATTTTCCATGTTTACAATAAACTGTAGGTCTCTTACCACCTCTTGGAGCTCTGGTCTTTCTTTTGGGTTTAGATAAAAATTCCATAATGCTTGCAATTAAATCATGTCTTTCTTTGCCTGTATCAGAAAACTTCCTCATCTCCAGACATAAGATAGCACCAATTTTTCTCAACACATCATCTGGTTGACTGAGGGAATAAAATGAAAACAAATATGATATAACAGTGCAATTGCAAATATGGTGCTGGAAAAAAATTTTAAAAGTTTCTTTTTTAAAATACTTACGTTCGAAGCATCATCTCTCGATTAAAATAATCTTCACTACTTTGGCTAAAATTAAAACCAGAAAATTCAAGTATCCTTTGCGTCAAAATTTCTTGAGTGTCCTAAAACAAAACCACAATTTAGATATTGTTCCAAAATCTTCAAGTTTTTCAAAGATTTTTTCCTATTTTTATATTTAACAAAAACTTTTGAAACATATGATCATGAATGCAAACAACTTCAAAAATTACCCTAAGCAGTCAAAAGTACTTAGGTGCCTTAATAAGAACGGTCTTCAAAAAAGCAAAAAATTAATATGTGGGTTCCCCATTTTCAGCTATGGCAGCTCCACTGTATTAGAAAGGTTATTATTGCTTAGAATACTGAAACTCAAAATGAATATCATTCTGGCAGTACATCAGTTCCATCATTGTGTCAAGAGAGATGACCTGGCTCACAGCCAATGCTCAAATTCATTCCATAAGGACTTTACACTGTTCAGAATAGTGAGGCAAGATTATCCAATTCAGCAAAATCAAAGGTACTGATATTGAATACGATCTACCACGTTTAGTTCTTTATTTCTCAGATGGGGCTATGAAAATGCTATTTTTAAATACAAAAATAAATATAAATAATTCAAACACATAAATGATAAAATAGGGCCCCTAAAATGGCCATAAATACAAGCCAAGTCCTTAAAAAAATTTTAAAGGCCATAACACATGAAAAAAAAGGGGGAGTCCTTAAAATGGCTGTTTTTATGAACTATTCAACCATATACATTATATGAATGTCATGCTGCATGTCCAAAAAACAATCAGCACCTTTATTAACAGATCTCCACTATGACCAACACTCCACATCAATAACTGAAAGCAGTCAATAGCATATTAAATCATTACCAAACCCTTGTTTCGCACTATGGTGCGAATGTGCAAACCATTCACACAAGATGCTTCTAATGGTGTCATCACATGATGATAGAAGAAACTTTTCCCAGAAACAAACTTCTTTTACCAGTGGATGGTTAGGGTTTTGTTAAAACCAAGTCCCTGCTAGGTACTTGGGACATTTTACAACTGAGGCAAAAATGCTTCACTTACAGCTATGTATTGCAAAGGTTTCTGTCAAAGAACTGTTTTTGCGCAAATTAACCATTCAGATATCCCAAAAATGAAAATTCCCAGAAATAATTCTTTCACTGTGCAGCCATCGATAGCTTTCAAGTTTGATAACAGTAAAGAGGAACAAATCATATTGAAACAATATACTAAACTTTTATCAAAATGTTAGCAACAAGAAATTTTCACTCTACAGTACATCATCACTACTCAAAATGGCAAATGCTCTCAACTTTCACAACAATGAAAGAATCCTTGGTTTCGCTGTGTTTTAGGGTGGGAAAATTGTTTTTCTTATTATTGTTTGATTACAGCAAAGCACAGTAGGGCTATCTACCTAAAAGGGAGAGAAGCTATTCATGGAGAACTTTCTAAGCAAAACTGTCCTGTATCCACACATGGATAATGAGCAGTATTGATTGCAATAACGTTCAGTTCAGAAGTGGCTGTTCAGTTATGAAAACCGTAAGTTTGGAACTCTAGGTAAAATGTCATTCTGGAATCAGACTTCCATTCAAATGTTTTTACCAATTCCATGCAGCTGTTTCAAGACTGTTTTTGACACTCTACTGAAAACACAATGGTTATACATAACTTACATATCATAGCTTCTAAAACTTGCTTGCCTCCTTTCAAGTTATCACAGTTTAAGCTGCAATATTAATGGAAGAATTTACTACCACCTGGGAATGTCTAGACACATTTGATCACAAATATATTAGCTAAATTGATCATAAATGTAGCTGGGCATAAATTAAACATAGTTAATATAATTCAATACCATACAGTACAATTCAATTATAACCCAGTATGTGTAAACTTGATAATGATCTAAGACTAAAGTTTGTTAAAAAAATCATTTCATTCTTCATTGTGCTATGCAATAAATATACATACATAAAGTAATAAAAGCATAATACATAAAATGACAGAATTCTCAACGTATCCAGTTATAAAAAAAATATGAGCTTAGATAACCATGACTGAAAGAAAATTGCTTTAAACATCTAAATTTAATAAAACAAAATACAGTTTGCCACGAAAAAGCTCTGATGTTTCTTCCTAGATGTACCTTGAAAGGCCTTCTGAAAAATGAATTGTATCACACAAACTATAATATGGATGAGCCATTATATTGTAGATACAAAATTTTCTTTTAAACCATTCTCAAGCTTTAACTTCCTCCAAGCTTTGACAAGATCCAGGTAACATAAACTGATACTAGACCTGCCTGAAGGCATATTTAGCGACTTCTCACTAATATTGGAAGACTAGTACAACAAAAGAAGGGTATAAAAGACCCTTTTATTGAACTCAGTTATTTACAAATGGCACGGTCTTATGTGTTTACAATTTCACCATCCACTTGCAATGAACTTTAAGATAATGATAGCAAACTTGTAAATTTATTGGGTTGTTCAGAAAGTAATTTTGTTTTTTGGGGGGAACATGAAAGACAATTTTCGTATAATGAATAAATATTTTATTAAATTATATATTGGCCATTCTGGTCCAACACCTTTTGCCATCTTTCTGGCAGTAACATGATTCCCTGCTCATAAAAGTTTTGGTCCTTCCTGGCAAAAAACTGATTCAGGTGGTTTTTGACATCTTTATTTGAGGTAAAGGTTTTACCATCCAAAAAATTTTGCAGGGACCGGAACAAATAATAATCAGAAGGTGCCAGATCTGGAGAATATGGTGTGTATTGCAGTATGTCCCATTCAAGCTGTAAAAGCTTTTGGCGAGTGACCAAACTTGTATGAGGTCTCGCATTATCCTGGTGGAACACTACACCCTTCCTGTTGGTTAATTCTGGCCTCTTCTGTTTAAGTGCATCATTCAATTTGTCCAGCTGATGACAATAGACTTCCGAATTAATAGTTGTATTGTCCGGTAAAAGCTAAAAAAAAAACGATTCCTTTGAAATCCCACCAAACGGACAGCATCACCTTTTATTGGTGAATGTTGGCTTTTGAAACGCTTTAAGCCAGTTCATTTTTTCTGCTCCATGACCTCTTGCGTTTCACATTGTTGTATATACAACCCATTTTTCGTTCCCCAGTAATAATCCGCTTCAAAAATGGATCATTTTCCTGACGTTTGAGGAGCGAATCACACACGTCAATGCGACGACACAAATTTCGCTCCGTAAGAACATGGGGCACCCACACATCGAGCTTCGAGGTTAAGCCCAGACCTTTCAAGTGGTCATAAACAGTCGAATTCGACAAATTTAACCTCTCACCGATCTCTCGTGTGGTTATTCGCCGATTTGCATCAACTAATGCCTTTATCGCATCTTTGTCAGCTTCGACCGGTCTTCCAGACCGTGGTGCATCTTTGACATCAAAATTGCCAGATCGAAACCTTGCAAACCAGTTCTGGCACTGGCGTACTGTTAACACGCCTTCTCCATACACATCCGTCAATTTTTTTCTCGCTTGGACAGCATTTTTACCTTTTCTGAAGTAAAAAAAGTAAAATATGACGAAAATGCTGCTTATTGCTCTCCATATTTAAAAGGGCACCAACCAAAAACTAGTGCGTAGAATTAATAGAACTTTTCACACACAAGCTATATAAGCATGATTTAATTTCACACACTGTAATATCAGCTCTCAAGACATATAATGGTTATGTGGCTTAAGTGTGAAGTTGGTTTCGAAAAAAATGTAATTAAGTCCTCTGACGTGAAAAAACGAAATTACTTTCTGGACAACCCAATAAAAGATAAGCTATTAGTTCAAGACTACAAAAATTAATTTAACCTAGCAGGCAAACTCAGAAAACTATACTGGCATGATATTAAACTTCGGCAGCAAGAATGCTAAGCCAAGACTCAGAATTCAAAGAGCTAGTACAAATAAGAATGTGCACACTCAATAATGAAAACACGCTCTGCCTAACTTTTTTGCTACTTCATTTTAAATACTCTAACTAATTTACATTCTGGTGAGGAAACGTAAGAGAAACAAGAAGTGACAGAAAAGACTAACAAATTAAAATAACTACAGCACAAAGTCCGATATCCGGAATGATCTAAAATCAGGGTTCATACACATTTCCTTACATGAAAATTAAGGACTTTAAGGACCATCAAAGAAAAAATTAAGGACCTATCAGCAAACAAAAAAAACGAATAGAATAAAGCAATTATCCATACAACAGACTTCATGCTAGTAATTTCACTTTAAGAAACTAACAGAAGTGTGTATTATGCACTATTATTAAATTCAATTTAATACTTACCATAAAACAATTTTGAAAATTAAACTAACTCCCTACAAGTTATGAAGTAGATAACATTAAATTAGGAACATAATTTCTTGAAAAACATGTATAAGTGTATTTTACACTAATAACAGTCACTATTTTAGAGATTTAATGATTATTATTTAACTTATTTGATATTTATTTAAACACAGTCAACTACTATTATAATCACAATGTAAGAATATTTTGCAGATTAAAATAACTGATTTGTAAACATACAATTTATTTCCTTGGTTTTTTGAAAGATACTAGAATAATAAACTGTACAATAAAAGATACAAAACATTTGTGCTTTTTTTTAAATCTGAAATCTTTTCAGCTGTTTTAACATCTAATTTATTTATGTCTATTTCCTTTTTCTTTAACTATTCTTCTAAGTTCATTTGCTTTGATAAACAAATCAATGTTCCTGCTGGTCTCAGCTTCATCTGCTAAAGCATCTACTTCTTCATTAATATCTTCAATGTCCCTTTGAAGAAATTTTTTCTTCTGCTTCATTTCATATAATCAATTTCTTACTCAATAATATTTATTTTCCTCTTTGAATTTTCAGATTTAGTTAAAGATTTTTGTTCTTCTAAATACTGCATATATTTAGACCTTGCAGAAGCTGCTGCTGATCTCATTTCTTTATTAATTTCGATATTAAGAACACCTCCAGAAAATTTTATGTAATCAAATACTGTGCGTTGAAAAATGTATGATGAGTCACTTAAATTTTC